ACATAATCGAGAATAAAATTTTTTGCAAACATCATGCTCGCGGCTAAACAAAACTACGATTCCAATAAAATTACAGAACTGAGAGAAATACTATTATTTCGACAATGTAACGAATCTTAAATGTGTAGGACGAATAAATTACGGCCATCCTTGTTACGCATGAACATGTTTTCTCGATTGACGTCAAACAAAAAACATCTCGGCAGTCTAAATGCATTTTTACATATCACGTATTAAAATTTACCGTTAAAGCTGTTGAAGCTTATTATTAAACCTTACGCAAAGATCGATAAGTTATCACCATTAAGTCGCTACTACACAACATCACAGTTAGTTGCAAAATTAATAACTTTTAAACTAAAAAAAATAGAGGAAAACAGTTTGCGCCATAATCCTTAGCGCAAGAAACTGCAAAATATCAGCCTAGTTCGAACTTTCTAACTTTAGTTATTAACAATCAATTGTTTAAATAATATAAATTATCAAACTTTTACCGTGTGGTATTTTGCAACTAACCAATAGAAACTGAGATGTAAAAACCATTTTGCTCTAACTTTTACTGTTCTCGAAATATTCAATTTGTTAACTTTCACTCTTTNTCATAAATCGAAGAGTAGCCGATTGAAGGTACTTGCAAAATTAGTTTCAAGCTATCTCTTCTGGTTTTCGAGATATCCGCGATTTGCGAAAAAAACTGTGTATCGTTAAATGTAGAATATTAAAATAAATCAAATGTTTATATTTGTTATTTAATAAGCTTTATTGTAAAACCGTGTTTTCGGGAACTCTCCAATTACCGAATTAACATAGGATAGTATATCTATTTTATATTTCGTACTTTTTATTTTTTATTTTTTATTTAACAAATTTAATGACGAGAGAGTACGCTCGATAATATTTTTTAATTTTTTTTATATTTGTATTATATATATATATATATATATTTATATATATATACAGGGTGTCCCAGAATTGCCGTACAATCTCTCGTAGGCAGGTAGAAAGAATAAAACTGAGTCGAAAAGTCCTGAACCATTTTTTTCTATTATTTATAATAAAGAAGTAATTATTGAGTAAATCAGGCCAATCAGCGCCGATCTTTAGTCAGGCGCACGTCAGTGAGCCACGCGACTGGTGTGTGTGAGCACTCTGCGCAGTTCACTGACGTGCGCCTGGCTAAAGGTCGGCGCTGATTGGCCTGATTTACTCAATAATTATTCTTTTATTATAAATAATAGAAAAAAATGGATCAGAACTTTTCGACTCAGTTTTATTCCTTCTACCTGCCTACGAGAGATTGTACGGCATTTCTGGGACACCCTGTATATATTATTGTATTATATTGTATTAGTATAAAACACAAAAAATGTTTACTTCAGTTCTACCGCTATACTTGGCGCGAGACTATGGCTGCGTTCCGAGTTACGCATATCACGTATTTATCTATACTATATGTGACGTGTACTATAGATAAATGCGCGCATATGCGTAACTCGGAACGCAGCCTATATCTATACGAAAGTGTTGTCACCTGGCGGCGACAAGAGGCGAAGTACGCTCAACGCTCAAGCATTGTCCTGAGACGTGGACGAATTCGTAGAACCAAGTTTTTCTGCATTTCGGACTTTGTATCGAGATATCTCCGTTGGGAAGGCACGGAGGAAAAAACCGCGAACTAAGTTTTTTCGTGCCTCGATCTCAACTTTCGATTGAGTCTACTACGAACTCGATCGGTTTAGCCGTTGTTGAGATCGGAAAATCTCGAGAAGTTTCTCGGTTAAATCTCGCGTATAAGAGGCACGGGGTACCTCGCGCAGCGCGCGCGCACTTCGTTTGCGCATATACTTGGCGCGAGGCACTACCGTGCATCTTGATATTATATGGTATATATATATTGAATACGCAGAGCATTTGTTGGCTGAAGCATGGATGACAATAGATTTTTAATTGTGGAGTTCTCTGATGGCCTCCAAATTATACTTTCAAGATGGCTCAATACTACTAAACAAACATGTATTTGGCCTAACCACTTTAAAACACAACGTCGAATTAATACAGCTATAATAACTGGAGAACTGCCAAAAGAACAAGATGATTGGGAAGAGTTGCCAATAAAAAGAATTTTTNGAAGCGCAGGTGATAAAATTAAAACAAATTTTATATGTACATACATGTGTGCATTTTATTTATTATTACAGTTTTATTATATATAATGGTTTTTTAAATTATACCTAGATACCTATGAAAAGAGTATAGAAAAGTTAATATTAGCACAAGATACATCCAATGTGGATGATACCGGTATGTCTTCTAGTGAAATAAGAGAACGGAACAAGAAAAGAAGACGCACAAAAGCAAAACGGAAATTTTCCTCTTGCTCCTCCTCTTCAGAGAACGAAGAAGTAATTGGAAATAAAGAAAATTGTCCAATACAAAATAAAAAAGTTCTTCCTTTTCCGAAACTGGATAAATTTGTTTCTAGCAGCACATCATTAAAAGAGAATAAACAACGCTCGCAATATTAAATATAAATAAGATAGTTAGGTCAAATCGAGCCAAAAAACTTAGGTGTTAGCAAAAAAATTTTTAATAAGTGCTGTTATATAGGTAATTGATTTAATGTACAGACGTTTCGACTATGACTTAAGTCTTTTTCAATGTAAATAAATATAAACTAAAACATGTAAGTCGCATGACAATAATATTCGCAAAAACATATACATAAAGACTGTTAATCACGTAAATAATGTAGTTATTGTTGTTACGTCCTGGCCCATGGATACGGTCGGGCTGTGGTGTGACGCAACAGTAAACGCGTCGTTTTCCATATCTCTCTCTACAGTGGACACGGAAGTCCCGCTGTGAGAGAGTCGAGCGAGTTTGTTTATATTTGTTGACAGGTCAACGGCGTACGCCGATCTTACTCTGTCTAACAAACACTCGCTCGTTGGTCCCTTTCTAGGTCTGAGACGCAAATCTCATTTACCAAGGACGGGACCTAGCGATTTTAACGAGGAAGTGAGAGTGGGTTATACGGAAAGAAGGAGAACAAAGAATAATTCTTTAGATTGATTTCACACATTATAAAGTAGTTATATTTATAAAAAATCAAAATCAATGAAATAATAACAGACATGTAGAAATTAAAACAATAAAGGAGCATATAATCGTTTCGTACAATGTAATCTACATGCTAGAACGCGAGTGTGAGAGAGAACGAGAGTGCGAGTTTTTTAGTGTAGCCAGCCTCTCAACCCATGTTTATACAACTTAAATCATCTTAGGCGTTTGTATCTGGATAAATTCGGTTTTGTTTCATTTGTGAGGTTTCAATGAAAATAACGATAGGAATAAATTTGGATGTGTCATNATTCTAAGATTGATATTCGGAGATAAGCGAGTTTTGTTTGTTTCCGTGATTTAGAAAGGAAAAAGAAATAATTCGGGCGCTATTCACGATTGGAGTCGCGAACTGCTCTCCCGGGGAGGGTGAGGAATTGACTCCTCGGTCGGTTGCTGTTCACGACT